ATCTCAGCATTGCCCGGCCAAGGATTAACATCTCTCCCTTTCCCGTCTGGTACCAGATGGGGGGAGGGGGGAGGTGGGGGCAGTAAGCACATGAGCAAAAGAAGTCAAAATGGTGCAGGGGTATATGCTTGACCACAGAGGCCTGTCAGTCTAACCTGTGAGAGGGATCACTGGTCAGGGGGTGGACCCATCAGAAGCCCAGAAAGATTGGTAAGTTGATCGGTTATTTTGAAAAAGCTCCTGATCGTAATAAGTCCAGGGAACAAAAAGGAGCTCTCTTGCTTGGTGACCTATGCTAGCTCCATTCGTTTGCGTTCTCTCTCTCTCTCACTCTCTCTCTCTCTCTCTCTCTCTCTCTCTCTCTCTCTCTCCTCTGCCCCCTCCCCCCGACACACACACACACACACAGACAAACATGACCATGCAGGTCTAACAGCCAGGCCATGACAGACTGTGTGGGCTCCAAAGGACTAAGCTTTCATATGAAACAGAAACTGTCGACACTGGCCTTGGTTTTGGACTTTCCCATGGCGGATGGAGGGAGGTGGGACACTGGGAACCCAGGGGCAGCTTTCTGGAATAGATTTTGCCACACCACAATCTCCCGTGCCTGGGTCCCTGGAATGCTTTCCTCATGATCCCGTGGAAGAACCCGATTTCCACCAGCAACGATCTGATTTAGCTCAACAAAAAGTGAGATGAGATCCCCTGGCATAGAGTGCTATTGAGAACCTGACTGTATAAATAAAAATAGATCTGGCCCGTGCCTTTCTTTGCAAACAGAGAACTGCAATTAAAGCATTAGGAAAGTACTGTTTTCCTTAACGCGTTCACAGCAATTCTACTTCCATACAAAACCATGCTTTCTATCAAGAGCTAAAATTTCACTTTTGCTGCCATTCACTTAAGTTAAAAAAAATCCAGTTAAAGTTCATTTTAAATATATTTTTATTGATTTCAGAGAGGAAGGGAGAGGGAGAGAGAGAAACATCAATGACGAGAGAGAATCATTGATAGGCTGCCCCGTGGATCGAGCCCAGAACCCAGGCATGTGCCCTGATTGGAAATCGAACCTGGGACCTTCAGTCCGCAGGCCGACGCCCTATCCACTGAGGCAAACCAGCTAGGGCTAAAGTTCATTTTAATAAACATTTACATTCAATAGGTTTCCATATATTTAAGTAGGGCAGGAAGCAAGAGCAAATAAAATATTGGTTAGGAAGACATAAATGCAAGAATTCAGATTTTGAATTAGAAAACTAATAATGAAATGAAGTATATAGGCCCAGAGTAGAATCTTTTTAGTAGCATTATTTAGTAATTAGTTAAAAAAAAAAAAAGAAACTATAAGTGATAGAAGCAAAATAAGAAATCATAAAGTATGTTAAGGGATTCAATTTTATAACAAAAAAAGAAATTCATTGAGATCATGGTCTAGCTGTAGATTTTAAAATCTCAAATTAAATATTCTCAAAGAAAGAGAAATAGATAACAAAAGAAAGGTAGGAAAATAAAAGTCAACTTGAGAAGAAACTGAGTTTTAGAGAAAGAGCTAGGGAAAACAATAATCTTGCCAAGTTCTTAATCTATTATAGTGATACCATTGTAATTAGCTAATTATTAATAATAAATCTAGTCAAGAAGGTAGAAGATACCAAAAACTATAAAACATCGCTGGAAAAAAGTAAAGACATTAATGGAAAGACATCCCATGTTCACAAATAAAATGCCAATACTACCCAAAGAAATCTACAGATTCAAACACAATACCTAACAAAAATCCCAGTAGCCTTTTTTCCCCCAGAAATGGAAAAGCATATTCTCACATTCATATGGAATTGCAAGAACCCTGACTAACCAAAATAATTTTGAAAAAGAAGGACCCAGTTGGAGGAATCACACTTCCCAACTTTGAAACTTACTACAAAGCTGCCGTAATTAAAACAGTGTGGTCCTGGTATAAGGAGAGACCTGTAGATCAATGGAATAGAAAGCCAAGAAATAAACCTTTATATATATGGTTAATTAATTATTGACAAGAGTACCAAGACCACTCAGTGGGGGAAAGGACAGTCTTTTCAACAAATGGTAGTGGGAGAATTGGATATCCAACTTCAAAAGAATGAAGTTAGACCCTCGTCTTACACCATATACCAAAAGTGACTCATAAAGAATCAAAGACATAAACTTAAGAGCTAAAACTATAAAACTCTTAGAAGACAACTTTGGGGAAAATGTCCATGACATTGGATTTGGCAACATTTCATGAATATGACACCAAAAGGATAGACAACAAAAGAAATAAAAATATAAATTGAACTTTATCAAAAGAAAAAACTTTTGTGTATCAGAGAACACCCTCAGGAAAATGAAATAACAATCTAAAGAATGACATAAAACATTTTCAAATCATATACCTGACAAGTGATTATTATCTAGAATATTTAAAGAATTCCTACAATTCAACAACAAATAGCCCAGTTCAAAAATGGGCAAAGGACTTGAATAGACATCTATCCAAAGAAGTCTTACAAACGGTACTCAATATCATTAGTCATTAGGGAAATGCAAATCAAAACCACAATGAGAGATCTCTTCACACCTACTAACATGGCTATAATAAATTTAAAAAAAAAGGAAAGTAACACATGTTACTGAGGACAGAGAGAAACTGGAACATTTGCATATTGCTGGTAGGAATGCAAGATGGTACAGCCAGTGTGGAAAATGGTTTGGTGGTTTCTCAAAAGTTAAACACAGAACTAACAGGTGACCCAGCAATTCCATTCACAGGTATTTTTCTAAAAGAATGGAAAGCAGGGACTGGACCAGATATCTGCACACCAATGTTCATAGCAGCATTATTCACAATAGCCAAGAGGGGGAAGCAGCCCAGGTGTCCATCAACAGGTAAATGGATAAACAAAATGGGGCATATAAAATAGAATACAATTCAGCCATAAAAAGGGATAAAATTTTGACATATGTTACAACACGGATGGACCTTGAAAACGTTATGCTTGATAATCCAGACACAAAGTCAAATATGATTCCACTTATATGAGGTAACTAGAATAGGCAAATTCATAGAAGGAAAGCAGACTAGGCAGCCGTGGGCAAACTACGGCCCGCGGGCCGGATCCGGCCGTTTGAAATGAATAAAACTAAAAAAAAAAAAAGACCGTACCCTTTTATGTAATGATGTTTACTTTGAATTTATATTAGTTCACACAAACACTCCATCCATGCTTTTGTTCCGGCCCTCCGGTCCAGTTTAAGAACCCATTGTGGCCCTCGAGTCAAAAAGTTTGCCCACCCCTGGACTAGAGGCTACTGGGGTCTGGAAGAAGAAGAAAAGGGGAATTATTGCTTAACAGGTACAGAGTTTATGTTGAGGATTAGGAAATAGTTTTAAGTAGAGATAAGGTATGGGTACACACAGGATGGTGAATAAAAGGTGGGGCAAAAGTAGGTTTATAGTTTGAGTGTATTGTTTTATTTTTCTTGTATTATTATTCATTGATTACTGTATTATTTTCCATATGAACAACTGTAAACTTACTTTTGCCCCACTCCGTAGATTTAATGGTTAAAAGAGACAAGTATATTTATTTAAATTTAAGCACATGTTTATAAAGTATACTTTAAAAACAAAGTCTCAAAAATACCAAGTGAGAACACAGCTGCACCAGCGGGGGATGGGGAAGAGCTGAGTAGGCAGAAGCACCTGGGGATGAAGGTTGGATGTTTCAGTTAATAGCAATGGAAAATGAGGATTCCAAAAGAGCAAGCGTGAACATGGCTGCATTAGTAGAAATATAGTTCTCAAAACAAGGGAGGGACCATCGTATTGGCCAGACCAGTGGCGGAGACCCGAGCTCTGTTTGGGGCCTCACCCCCAAGAGGACAGTGGTATCCTGGGTTGTATTTGGGGAAGACTGACTAGCATGGTGAAGGATACGGAAACCCAGGACATCTAGGGATCAGCAGAGAGAATCAAGAATGTCTTTTCCCATTTAGCAGGACCTCGTAGTTACCCAAAGAGCCAATCCTGACAAAAAGGAAAAAAAAAAAAAAACACCAAAAAAACAAAAAGAACTTGAGGAAAGCAGGTTTTTTGCTCAGCTTAAGGAAGAACTTTCATTTCTCCTTTTTCTTTTCTCTTGTTTTTAAAAATACCAAGTGATTTGCTCTAAGCCATACCCTAGTAAAAGGCTAAGCCAACATTCAATCTTATTTTTTCAATCTCCATGACAACAGAAGACAAGTAGTGTATTAGTTGCTCAGCATTAAAACAACATCTAATTGTTTTGGTTCCCTAGGCTCTCCCCAGAACTCATCTGCTAAGATCAATCAAAAAGAAGAGTAATCTCCTTTGTCTTCAATTTGTTATGAAACCTCTGTTACCATCAGATACACTCTAGCTCAGCCGTGGGCAAACTACGGCCCGCGGGCCGGATCCGGCCGTTTGAAATGAATAAAACTAAAAAAAAAAAAGACCGTACCCTTTTATGTAATGATGTTTACTTTGAATTTATATTAGTTCACACAAACACTCCATCCATGCTTTTGTTCCGGCCCTCCGGTCCAGTTTAAGAACCCATTGTGGCCCTCGAGTCAAAAAGTTTGCCCACCCCTGCCTAGCTTCTGCCTTTAGCTCAGGAAGGTGAGGCCAGAATGCCTGGTGCACTGACTGTACACTCACCGTGACTGAGAAAGCAGTTCTGGGGCCGCATCACCAGTTCCTACCCTGGCTCCTCTATTAACTGCGACCTTACGCGGGTAATTTAATCTCAGTGATCCAGTTTCCTAGTCTGTGAGATATGAATAAAGTACTTACCTCACAAAGTTGTCAACTCAAACAGGCAAAGCACTTAGAACAGATCTTGGCACCTGGTAAAAAGGTTTCTCTCTTTCCCCTCCTTGCTTTTTCTTCCTCTTTCTTTTCCTTTTTCCACAACATCAACATTATTTATTATCACTGAGACTCTGCAAGTTACCTGTGAAACCGTCATCTGCATGTTGCTTTGCCCACTGCAAAGCCAGACATCTCCGAATAAGACATCATGAACTCCCACGGTTAAGTTTGTTTTTCCAAAAGTCTGCTGTGCCGTCACTTCATAAGGTCCACCGGGCTTCATAGGATCCAGTACCACCATCCATTTATTAGAGTATGCTGAAATAATAACAAAAGGCTCCGAGGAATTAATCAATCAATTAATTAAAATTAAAGCCCAATCCTGTCACGCATCATACTCATTCGTGGCCATTCCCAGCTTCAGTGATCAACTGAATTCGAAGCTATGAAAACTGGCCACATTTCAGACAAGCAAACAGAAATAACAGCAGCGGCATTTCTATCCTTAATCTGTGCCAATCCCTTCTTACTTGTAACTGAAGCGTTTACAAGAGAAATAAATTAGCCAGTTGTAATCCTAAATGAGTACAGGTAAAAATACAAAACAAATTTAAATTCAAGGGATTTAATAAAAACAAAATAGAAATTCTTACTGGACTATCCAGCTGTCAATATTAAAATAATCATAATCTAACACATTTGCACAGTGCCCCAATTAGAGAAAATCATTTGTAATCTGAAAGTTCCCCTTGCCTGATGGTATCATGTTTGTCCTCAATACCCCCACCTCCTCCCCACATTGCTACCAAGGATTAATACTAGCAGCAGTTCTGGGTTCTCCTGTCAACATTTAAACAGGTGAGTGGAGAAGGTGTCACATAAAGAAGTACTGAAAGGCATATAAATTAGTCTCTCTGGCCCAGCCAGGGTGGCTCAATGGTTGAGCATCAACTCATGAACCAAGAGGTCACTGGTTTGATTCCTGGTCACAGCACATGCCCGGGTTGTGAGCTCGATCCCCAGTGGGGGTCGTGCAGGAATCAGCTGATCCATGTTTCTCTCTCATCGATGCTTCTATCTCCCTCTCTCTCTCCCTTCCCCTCTCTCTAAATTCAATAAAAACGCAGGGTGGCTCAATGGTTGAGCATCAATTCATGAACCAAGAGGTCACTGGTTTGATTCCTGGTCACAGCACATGCCCGGGTTGTGAGCTCAATCCCCAGTGGGGGTCATGCAGGAATCAGCTGATCCATGTTTCTCTCTCATCGATGCTTCTATCTCCCTCTCTCTCTCCCTTCCCCTCTCTCTAAATTCAATAAAAACATACTTTTTTCAAAATTAGTCTCTCTGTGAAGAAGACATTTAGACTTGCCCAATTAATTATTTTCAGAATTATTTCCCAGACTTAAGGTTTTCAGGCTCAATTAAAGCGATGAAAAGTTACCCAAGACCCTATTTCAGAGATTCCTAGCATATTCCTTAGGAACCACCTCCCTACCACCTTCCTACCTCTCACCCACTCACGCGGCCACCTCTGCAAACATCATACTCAGAAACTTAAGAAAAATATCTTCCAAGTGGCAAAATTATGCCTAGGAGAACCAAACAACATGAACAAAGTTGAAAAAATGAGAGTGAGAAAATAGAGAAGTAATCTTTTAAAAATAAATCCTCTTGGCATAATGCAGAAGAATAGGAACTGATTTATAATTTAATGTAATTTCAAAGGAAGAGAATGGTAAGAACTGGAAATGAAGCATCCCAAAGTTACTGTACCAGCCTGTAAAAAACAATAATTATAAAAATACTACCCAAGTGACTACTAGGAGCCAGACAGGGTGCTGAGTTCTTTCTAATCAGCAAGAGCTAAGCAGAAGCAGGAGAAGTCCAGATGCAGGAGAGGAGATAAGTAAAAGCTCAAACCATAAAGGACCGCTCATTATTGGGGGGGATGTCCAAGACCCCCAAGGCATCAGGGGAAGGGTGCATGTTTGCTCCTCCGGTTAGCACAACTGACTCATTTGCTCCGCCCAGCCCTAAGAGGTCAGTTAAGCCCAGGACCAAATGCCCGCTACTGTTTTTATACCTCTGAGAGCCAGACATCATCCTGTTATAAGTATAACTCACCAAAAGCAGGAAAAGCACTGCTCTGGAGGCAGTGGGCAGCGGGTACAGACTGTGTCACACAGGTGCCTGCGCTCCGTATGGCTCGCACTTCCGAGCAGGCAGACACGCCAATCTGTCCCAACTGCAGTCTTGCCAAGGTCTTTCCAGGCTCCCTGCACTGACATATCTCACTGGAGCTCTGTCCTGCTGCCACCAGCTTTGCTCATTTATGATGATAAAGTCAACCCCCAGAAAACCAAGGACAGGACACCCCTTTTAGCCTTCTACGACTAAACAATCCATTCCTCGTCACTGCTGGTAACTTGATATTCACTCCGCCTCCATTCAGGCAATATGGCTGGTGAGGAGGACAGCCGTCACCAGAGTTTCTGGAAGTTTTGCTGCCCAGCAATAAGATTAATAAGGGAAGGGGGGACATTTGGGCAAAACATCATGCCAATACCGTTTCACTGCAGCGAAAGGAAGAGCTCCCCCTGCAGGAGGGAAGAGAACTACAACTAAGGCCTGAGCCTTATTCCTAAGCACTGGTCTGAGGAAACGTCTCAGCTGACTTGGAGACCTCAGAGAACTTCCTTCTGTTCTAGTCCTTAAGTTCTTTTAGTTTCTAGCTTTTACCCTCTCCTCCTCGACAGAAAAATAAACTCTGCTACAGTAACGAGTGTTAAGGAAGTTAACTGCCAGGCCCGGCAGGGGAAATCGGATCTACTACAGGGAGGTTACTAATGGTCAAAGTAACTCAGAAACCATCCATTTAAAACAACGAGGACTGCCCAGCTGGCTCAGTGGTTGAGCAGTGACCTATGAACCAGGAGGTCACGGTTCAATTCTCGGTCAGGGCACCTGCTCGGGTTGCGGGCTCCATCCCTAGTGGGGGGTCTGCAGGAGGCAGCCGGTCAATGATTCTTTCATCATTGATGTTTCTATCTCTCTCTCCCTCTCCCTTCCTCTCTGAAATAAAAATGTATTTAAAAAATAAAACAATGAGGATTTACTCCCATGTAAGTATATACACAGGAGAGCAGTCACTGTGTAGACCAGTGGCTCTCAACCTATGGGTCGCAACCCCTTTGGCTTTTGAATGACCCTTTCACAGGGGTCACCTAAGACCATCCTGCATATCAGATATTTACATGACGATTCATAACAGTAGCAACATTACAGTTGTGAAGTAGCAACGAAAATAATTTTATGGTTGGGTCACAACATGAGGAACTGTATTTAAAGGGCCAGAAGGTTGAGAAACACTAGTGTAGACTGTTTCTTAGATCAAAGGCAAGGGTGGGCTTATAAAGGCAGAAGCCACCGTGTTTCACAGGAGAAGTGATTAGTCCTTGGCCTGCGAGGCGAGGACTAGTTTTAAGTGGAGCTCATCACAGGATGATGAAGTCCGGCTGTAGTTTTTAGAAACTGTGTGCATCCACCAGGTCCAATAGGTTGAGTCCAAATAATAAAACCGAGTCACCGACCACAAAGAGTTAAAGTTCACTGTCCAGCTGGCTTCCTGGGGGTCTTGCTGAGCAACAGTTGCTCTGGCTCCTTCTTCTGGGCTCTAATCACTTGCTATCCTGCAACCTCTTTTCCCAATCCAGATGCAGGTTTCTGTAGATTTTCGTCACATCCGAACCTCTGCTTCCTCAGATCTTTCTTCTCCCATCTAGGAAGTTTCATCTCCTTCCTTCATAACACAGCTACTTAGAGTGTGCCAGGCACTCCATCCTGTAAATGACAACCTCCCCCCGCCCCCGGCTCCCCTGTGACACCAACAAGAAAGCCTTGCAAACTGACTGGGGCTTTGTGTTTTCATGTCTGACAGCATATCTGGTGGCCTATTTACTGTTCTATTTTCTCTCCACATTCCAGCAAAAGACACAGGTAAAGAACACTCTATCTCCATTTCCTCTACACCTCCCTGACCAGCCCCCATCTAAAAATGGGAAGAATAAACAATCAAAGGGAAAAAAACTAAAACAATTTGTCTAGAGACATGATTAGTCATGAAGTGCTTTCTTTTTCTTCTTCTTGCTATTCACATCAGATGTTAATTATTTTTCAGGTTGTTGTGCCAAATCTCAGAAGCCAAGAACAGAAAAAGGAAAATTATCCACAACCTTTCCCTTCCCACAAGGAAACACCTAGAGCTGGAAGAAACCACCCTCTCACGTCCCACACAGAATCCTGGCACTTCTCCAGCTGCAAATCACTTTCGTGATTTGTGGGAGTGACTTGGAGGTAAAGGAAGCTTTACAGGCCCCTTTCCTACCTGCATTTATTCTGTATAAAGTCCTCCACCACCACCAAATATAAATGTTTAAAAAAAACAAAAAAAAATATTTAAGTACTTGTTTATCAATAAAACTGTTTATGCAAGTTACTTAAACGGTAGCATGCTATGGCAGACATGCCCTGAGATGACCCCCAATAAGGCACACCCTTGTATAACCCTCTCCCCCTAAGTGCAGGCAGAATGTGTGATTTGCTTCCAACCAAAATGGCAAAGGGGATGAGACATCATTCTCATGATTAGGGTACATTACATGGAAAACATAAAGGGTTTTTATAGATGTGATTAAAGTCCCTAATCAGTTGACTTTAATAAAAAGGGTGATTATCCTGGGTGGACCTGACCTAATAAGGTGAGCCCTTTAAGAGTATCTAGAGACCTGGGTAGTGTGTTCAGTAGTTAGAGCATTGGCCCATGAGCCAAAGGGTCACAGGTTCGAGTCCTAGTCAAGGGCATGTACCTGGGTTGCAGGTTCAAGCCCTGGCCCTCATTGGGGCTCAGCAGGAGGCAACCAATTAATGTGTCTCTCTCACATCGATGTTTCTCTCTCTCTCTCTCTCTCTCTCTCTTTCTCTCTCTTCCTCCCTCCCTCCTTTCCACTCTCTCTAAAGAAAAAAAAAGTCAATGGGAAAATCATCCTTGGGTGAGGATTAAAAACAACAACAAAAAAAACACGAGTATCTGGAGGTCAGAGGTGAAAGGAACCAAGATGCAGCCATGAATCCTACAGGCACAAGGAAATGAATCTGCCAGCAGCCTGGGGAGCTGGGAAGTGGGTCATTCCCCAGTTGAGCCTCTGGATGAGAACACAGCCCACTGATGCCTGGATTTCAGCTTGTGAGACCCAGAGAAGAGCACCCAGCTCAATAACAGCCAGGCTTCAGATCTACAGAAATTGTGAGATAGCAAAGGTGTGTTGTTTTAAGCATCTAAGTTTGTGACAATTTATTATGTAGCATAGAAAACTAGTCTGCATGCTAACACTGCAACCAGGAACTTTTTCTTTTCTAAGTTAGAGACAACATATCTGTTTGCAGACACACCCTCATTTTATCATCCACATATGCACTCCCATGTGTGTGAGAGTGAGAGGATATATGCTAATAGCCCCAATTTTATTCCTGTGTCTGAATTACCATGCATCATTTGACAATCTGAATAGGCCCAGTACCTGACTATATTCTCAACCATCCATCAGGTTTTAATTTTCCCAATGCTGTAGTGCCAGTCTGCCAGACAAAAACCTTTATGTTATCAAATTCCACTTTGCTGTGGGCGCCTAGGGAATACAGGTAATAAGTTGTATATTAACAGAGATAGACAGTGGCAAACTGAGGTAGTCTGGCTGAAAAACCCCAGAGTCCTCACTGATATTTAAATAGACGTCAACCCTTCAATAAACCCTGTAGAATTTCCTACATAACCACCGTCTTTAGTCCAAATAACATTTTATTTTTTTTACCTCATGGGCAGGACAGAGCAAGATGCTGCTGAAATAGGCCTGTGGCTCTACACAAACTAAAATACCCTCGCTCTCTACCAAGCAGATGTGGAAAGCCTAACAAACAGATCTACGCCCACCACCACCATCTTTCTCTCTTCTAGACAGAGGCTCGTTTGTAAGGCTGCTAATTCTCAACTTCTTGACCATCCTCACAGCAACTGCCTTGGGTCAAACCTTCCCTGTCTATTCCCTGAACATCATAATAGCCAGCTAACAGGTCCCACCACTTCTGTTCTGCTCGGTCTCCAATCAGTCTTCCACAGTCCTGCCAGAGTCATCTCTCTAATATACAAAGCTGATTGTGTTATTTTGTGCTTAAAATCCATCCATCCAATACTCCTTAACAATGACAAACAAGCTTCCTTATGTATCCAAACTTGTCTCCTGTCAACCAACGCCAGTCACGTACCCCAGTGTTCCCGACAAACCTACCCATGAGCCATTTCTCCAATGGCCCAAGCTCACTAGTGCCTCCGTGCCTTTGCCAGGCGAGTCCGTCTGCCTGGTTTGCCCTACTCATCTTTCAAGATAAACCTTAGCCTCACAGCGGTTCTCAACCTGTGGGTCGCAACCCCTGAAAATACATCCTGCATATCAGATATTTACATTACGATCCATAACCGTAGCAAAATTACAGTTATGAAGTAGCAACGAAAATAATTTTATGGTTGGGGGTCACCACAACATGAGGAACTGTATTAAAGGGTCTCGGCATTAGGAAGATTGAGAACCACTGCTTAGACTAAGTTAATTATCCCTACTAAGCACTCCCCAGCACCTAGTACTTCCCCATTATGGCACTTACCACACTTCACAGTAATTGCTATTATTTTTCCGTCTCTTTGCCTAACCTATTAGCTTCATTAGGGGAGAGACCACATCTGGTTCGCTCATCACTGTATCACCAGTACCTAACACAGTATCTGCCACAGAGTAGTCACTCAGTAAATATCTGAGTGATTGACTAAAATAATAGTAATAACTATAACAACGGCTCACATTTATTCAGTACTTACTGTGTGCCAGGCACTGTTCTAAGTACTTTATATGTGCTAATTCCTTTAAAACCCACATGGTCTCAAATACTATTATCTCACTTCGCATATAAATAAATTGTGACACAGAGATATTAAACGACATGTCCCGGGTTATATAGCCATGAAGAGACAGAGCCAGGACCTGAATCCAGAGAGTGAATTTCAGAGCCTGGGCTCTAACCACTCCTCCACGCTGCCTCTCCTTTATATGTGATTCGGTTCAAATGCCACCTTCTATGTAAACCTTCCCTTACCATCCAATCTGAGGTAGATGTTTCTCTTCTGTATCCCATGACATCCCATATACACCTTCATCACAGCTGTCATCACACTGCACTATGTAACTCAGTGTCTGTTCCCGCTATTCCATGAGCTCCTTGAGGACAGGCACTTTGACTTAGTCTTAATTTGTATCCTCAGTGCCTCGCACACGGTAAATACGCAAGTAGCTATCAAATAGCTATTATGGATGGATGGATGGATGGATGGATGGATGGATGGATGGATGGATGAGTAACGGGATATAGAGAGCAAGCTTGCATTTTCAGATAATCCAGCAGGTGGCAGAAGAAGATAAAAGCTCCACAGAGAATGGGGGCTGCCGTACCTTTCACATGAGTCACTCTCTTCATGAGGGTTTCCTGCTCTCGACACAGCGTCACTGTCACTGTGGCTTCAGGTGTGCCATAGCCCCAAATCACTGCCCCGGCAGGCTCCTTCTGTAGCACCATGTAATCACCGATGTAGGACGCAAACCGAAAACTGGCACCTAGAGAATTCAGCAAACAGAAGAGCATCACCGGGAAGACTCGTCACTGCTTGAATCTGGTTAAAGAGCAAGGAACATACGGTCTTTATACAAGAGCATTTGAATATACCCGGTACTTTTAATCTTCCAAAACCAGATCTTATTCCTCCCAATGAGGTCAGCAACATAACAAGAACAGTTTCCAACAAGATGCATCACAGTACAAGACCAATAAGGAAAACTCCAAGAGCCCAGGGCAACCCATGTCCTACACACGTCGTCCCCTTCAGAGCTGCTGACCTGCCTTTGCTCTCAGGCCTGGCCCTACTGCTTGACTCTCTCCGCCCAAAGCATTAAGATGCTCCTTTTATGCACCCTACAGATGGTGTTTATGAGAAAAAGAAACCTCTTCCTTCCTCTACTTTCCATTCCCACTCCTACTCCCGAGTAGCAGGGAATTAAGAAGCTTGCCTCTCTCCAACACAGCCCTCTCTAATCTCCCCCCCATTTCCACCCTACCAGGGTGAATGTCCCTCGAATAATTCCCCTTATTATGGCTTTTTGACAACCCACTGAAAATGCTAAATAAGCATTTATGAATATCTGCGACAGATTTGCTTCCTTCGAAGGTAAATTCAGATAAACGAAGGTGCAAAAAATAAAGTCAGTGAGAGTTAGAAGGTCACAGTGTCCTTACAAAGGTCTTCTGTCACCATTTTACCCATTTCACAAGCTAAATTATGCACAAGGAACAAGAGAAAGAGCACTCGAAACTGTGGATTTTATTCTACAGTCACTAACAAGACTGAACAAGAACTCACTTTAACAAGATCATTCCTATTTTTAACATCCAGCCTATATAGAAGTATTTCATTAGTAACAAGCATCTATCCAAATTATCTCAGCGAGCTCCTCATCAACACTTAAAAGGGGGGGAGGGGGACTTCAGTTACACCTTTGTCTCAATAAAACAAAAACAAAAATCCCCCTAGAAGAAAATAATTAACACTATTAAAAAAATTTTTTTTAAAGATTTTCAACAAAAATGATAGGCAGGAAAGAGAATCAGACCTAACAAGGTTGACATTTCCCTCCCTAGAAGCTACCTATGATGATGGCCCCTTAGGCGATACTCTAAGGAGCAGCATAGCTAATGGGGCCTCCTACACAGGCTCGGTGGCCTATTTGTCCTGCACTTCGAATAAGAATCCGTCCCTCAACACCCTCAGCTCTCTCTTCTGAGTTAGTTCCATCATGAAACGGACATGACCATCAAAGTTCATGCAGAAGGCCCACTGGGCTGGACATGCGTGGCTGCCTGCGCCCAGGGGAATTGCATAAGCACAGTGCTGGCAGCCTGCGGGAGGGAAGGGGAGAAGCACGTACGTGGGAGGGCCTTGTCTTGGGTAGGTGCTTCTTATGAAACAAAACTGAAGGTCTCAACGCTAAGCCGAGAGAGGGTGGAGGTGAAGGGATAGAGTGAAGAAATCTGGCTGCCACTGGCATAGGAGGCGGTGCAAACGGAGGGCCCCAGATGTGTGCAGCCTCCATCTGAGGCTGAAGGAAACACCTTTCCAAATCGGTCCGTCTTCTCCAACACACACGTAAGGAGCCTCTTTGTGCAGGGCTCTATTCTGAGTTAAAGAACGTTAGAGGTAGACCAGCTGGCGTGGCTCAGTGGTTGAGCAACGACGTATGAACCAGGAGGTCACAGTTCGATTCCCAGCCAGGGCACATGCCCGGATAGCAAACTCAATCCCCAGTTGGGGGGCGTGCAGATGACAGCCGATCAATGATTCTTTCTCATTATTGATGTTTCTATCTCTCTCTCCCTCTCCCTTCCTCTCTGAAATCAATAAAAATAAAAAGAATTTTAGAGGTAGAAAGATCGTTCACACCCAGAGTTTATAATCATGGTATTTACTGACCAACAGACTGAGACCCAAGTAGATTAGGTAATTTAAAAATACAGCTTGCATATTAATCCTTTAACTCAACAAATATTTATTGATGCCTATTATGTGCCAGGCACCATTTAAGCATGGAGAATATAACGGGGGGTGGGGGGGAGAGACATAATCCTTGCCAGCAGGGAGCTTACATTCTATGAATTCGCTTACTTGTGGCAGGCACTGTGCTAAACACACTGCAGACTTTAAGTTTCTTTGGCCCCGAATCACAGAGGTGGTTTATGACAGGACTAGAAACCAAGCCACTTGACTCCAATGTTACTGCAACTTCCACTCAGTCAGGGTTTGAAACTGGCGGTAAATCAAAGGTCATGTTCGCTGTCCTTATAAAGCTTACCTTCCAAACTGAGTGGCCAGTGGAACACTTCAAAGGGATGGAGCAAGGAACAAAACAGGAGGCCACGAAAGGAGGCAGGACTGGGAAGTTTTTGTCAAACAAGAAACTTAGGCTTAAGGTTTTCAATTTTTTTTTTTTAGGTTTTCAATTTTTCCTTCATTTGGATATTAGATTAAAAAAAACAACAACAGGAATTATGCCCTAGCTGGTTTGGCTCAGTGGAGAAAGCCTTGGCCTGCAGACTAAAGGGTCTCAGGTTCGATTCCGGTCAAGGGCACACGCCTGGGTTGCAAGCTCCATCCCCAGTGGGGGGTGTGCAGGAGGCAGCCAATCAATGATTCTCCCTCATCATTGATGTTTCTATCTCTCTCTCCCTCTCCCTTCCTCTCTGAAATCAATGAAAAACAAAACAAAACAGGAATTAGTATTCTGGGGGAGAGACGATCATTAAAAGCAGACTGAGCCCTGGCCAGTTTTCCTCAGTAATTAGAGCATCAGCCCACATATTGAAGGGTCTCGGGTTCGATTCCCAGAGCCAATCCATTTGTCTCTCTCACATAGATTTTTTTTTTTCTCTCTCTCTCTCCCCACTCCTCCTCCCTCCCTTCCACTCTGTCTGAAAATCAATGGAAAAAATATCCTCGGGTGAGGAATAAAAAAAAAAAGTAGACTGAAGAAATTAGGACAGTGGTTACCTCTGGTGAGGAACTGGTGGATCCACTTCGGAGGAACACCCAGGGAATCTCAATAAAACCGGCAGCATCCTAGCTCATATTGTTTCATGGTTACATATATCTTTGTACATCTCAAACATTACATGATAAATATGAACACAGGGAAATGATATGAAGGAAAGAGTTCAGGATGTGCAACCAAATGAAGAAGGAAAACTCAGAGTATCCATCAACAAAAAAGAGCCAGTGGCAATGAAGGTGATGTAAGGATATGACCTAAAGGCAAAGGTAAAATACAGATATCCAAGTTAACAGCCTTTAACCGAGAAAACGGATAGAATAATGGCCCTACTCGCCTCTTCACCTTCCTTCCACATCATATGCTAGATTCAGAGGTCACTGTGGGAGGCTGAGAGAGATAAAGGTTAGTTTACACGCCGGTTAAACCCCAGGAAAGAGCACCCGTGGGCTGCAGCTTGTCTGAACAGGGTACTTATTGGGTTCTGAGGGAGAGCAGCAGTCACTTTTCTGCACTCCAACCATTCTCCCACCTCAACTTCCATTTTTTAAAATATATTTTATTGATTTTTTTTACAGATAGGAAGGGAGAAGGGAGAGAGATAGAGAGTTAGAAACATCGATGAGAGAGAAACATCGATCAGCTGCCTCCTGCACATCTCCTACTGGGGATGTGCCCACAACCAAGGTACATGCCCTTGACCTGAATCGAACCTGGGACTTTTCAGTCCGAAGGCTGACGCTCTAGCCACTGAGCCAAACCGGTTTCGGCGCAACTTCCATTTCTTAACAGGGACCTCTGCGGTCCACTATTTGAGTGTTTGAAGGGGAAAAAACAGGTCCAGCATTATCTTTTCCACTTTGCACTGGCAGACAGTTGTGACCCAGTGTCCAGCCTTGTGTCTTCAAATGACAGGGTCTGCCTTGGACAATAGTCAGGGGGTCGCCCTCCTCCCCAATGCCACGCATGTTATCCCCGCACCGATATCTGTTGGCTGCCCCGGAAACCAAAGCTGAGCCTTAAATATTCTGAGCCAGAGAGGGAGTTGTACTTCACAGCCCTGTCACCACTGCAACTAGTAACATCTAATTCCTTGCCTTAAAGCAGTGGTTCTCAACCTTGGCTGCACATTAGAATCACCTGGGAATCTTTTTAAAATCCTGGTTTCTGGGCCTCATCCTCCGGAAATTGTTTCTTTGTTACTAATGTTGTGGCCCCACCCCATAACAAAGAAACA